TTTTTTTGACCCGTTGTCAGGCCAAAAAAAAAAGAAAAAAACTTTTCTCACATTTTTTTCCTCAACTGACCTTAATTCTTTACATTGTAAACTGACCCCTTATATTTATACATATTTGTTTAAACACAAATTCTGGTCTGCAACCAAAGTGATCGTGATAAAATAAAACATGGCAAAAGCAGCCTGGAGGATCTAAATTAAGTATTATCCAATCTCTGCCACTCACAGACACACACACACACACTTATGAGTTAAGCCAGACTATTTTGTACTTAAAAGGTTAGCAGGGCTGCTTTGTGAGTTTGATCTGTGTTTGCCAAATCAGCAGATGGTCCATGAATATGATTATATGCATCAATAAAGGGGGTAATCTTTGATAAAAATGTAAATTTGACTTAAGTCCAGGCTTTAATATACACCATGGACTTTACCCACTTTCCAGCTTTACCCACTTTGACTCAGGAGCACGATATGCTAAAGCTCTTGAATTTTGTAAATTAACATTCTAGTGTGATGCTACTATTCTATGAGTTTGAAACACTGAGCTAGACAGAGGGTAAAAAAACAATATTTTATATTTATTTTGTACACAAAGAATAAGCATCATATATTTCTAAGTGAATAACTGAGCAGATCAGTAATCGATTCAAATTGAGCGGGAGTGCTTAACTAGGTCCTTTTTGGAGCAGCCTTCTATTTCTCGACTTAAAATATTTGGGTACGTATTGAAAAAGACTAGACTACAAAACAAAACTAAAACATTTGAGACGTTCTTGAGCAATAGCCACAATAGTTTTGTTGATGCACAAGAAGTCTCATACCCCAAAAAATAAAAGTTACCAAAAAACTAAAAGTTTAAAGCAAAAATGTAGAAGTTAAAGTTGATCAGTTAATATGTGGTCTTACCCTGATGGCTAAAGAAAAAGATGGAGAAACAAAAATAAAAAAAAAGGATCACTGTTACTGACCTGGTCATTAATCTACTTATCTGAGCCTGAGGCTTACACAGTACAGCGCATCCTCACGCAGACAAACAGAATCACTTGTCTCCCCTATGTCTCAGAAAGCTCACGTGTTAACATGTCGGACAGTTCAGAATCACAAGCTTGACTTACCATGCCCCTATTAGCCTTTGTTTTTCATCTCTCTGTGACATCAGGGAGAAGATGGAGCAGAAGGATATCGAGGTGGGGTTACAAGGTATAGTCCACAGTGTCGCTGCTGCGAGAGCGTGTTCGACTGTGCCGCCTGTGTGTGTACGTGTGTGTGTGTGTTTGCAGACACTCTGATATTCCTGCAAAATGCGAAGCTTTTTTTCCCTTTCCTTTTTTTCAGGGTAGCCTTTGTCCCGTTTACTTAACAACCAATCTCATTAGCTGCTGGGCTACATTAGGCTGAATTATTTTCTGTGTAAATACAACACTTGGTGATCCTCAAGGTAAAACCTCTGAAGGTCTTTTTACTGACATAAATCTGAGATTTATATCAGAAATATGAAGAGGTTCAATTCACCAGAATCAGTAAATTCATTCTAAAGTTATTATTGCTGATTTTAGTTGAGTGATTAGATCATTAATAATCTATAAATGTATATATATTAGTATATTCACATTTGTAAATATAAAGTCTTAAATTGCTAATGCTAAAATAACATAGAGAACTGGAGTTTGCTCGACTTACCTCCCAGAATTTTGTAAATAAATCCCATTAAACTAAGCACAAGTGTGTATATAGTTTGTGCACAAATTTATTTATTTATTTTTTTTATTTGTTAATTATTACCTTTTGGTGCGGAGAAGCTGGGAAATGTAGCCACTGAAAGTAGTTGAAGTCATGACAGCTGTCTATAATGTGAGNTTTTTTTTTTTGTTAATTTTTACCTTTTGGTGCGGAGAAGCTGGGAAATGTAGCCACTGAAAGTAGTTGAAGTCATGACAGCTGTCTATAATGTGTGCATAAGGGACACATCTATTGGCCAACTTGACCCTTGTTAGAAAACAAAACAAATACAAAAAGAGAATACTGCAGCCTGGGACTGCCGAGCCGGGTCACTGGAGATTTTCCAGACAAACGCCACACAGAGGAGGGGAGGGGAGGAAGAATAAAAAGGACAGGCTCAGAATCTCATTTTAACAGACCGCACACAATCTGGGCTCCCACAGAACTATCTCTGCCTGACCGCTTTCTATTTATCCCTTATCAGTGTTTACCAACCGCTAGTTTTCTTTCATTCACACTGTGAGGCAGTTCTCTTACTATCAGTCAACAGCTGACACCGTGGAACAGCCTCAAAGGCAAGAGGAAGGGATCAAAACTAAACCAAAGCTGTTTAAACAATACAACAGAGGAAATAAATTCATAAATCCTAATTCTTCCCAACCCACGAGGGTATAAGCAGATCCTTTATAGTTAGGCCAACAAGCAAAATCACAGCCAATGAGTTACATTAAAATCAAGGTAAATTTTGAAATATATTAAGTAAAAAAAAAATTCCGGTTAAATAATCCAGTGTATTATTAAATGAAAGGCTCTCACAGCTGTGCCCTGTCAAGTAAATGTATATATTAAGTGAAAGGATTTTTCTCTTTTAAGATGTTTTCCAAAAATCATTTGTAATATGACTACCCACTTACATATTTAGATCACAAATAAAAAGGCTGAGAAGAGTTTATATTAACACAAAATAAGCATTAAGACATTTTTTAAATCTTACAGGAATAATGTAACACTTAAAGTATCTTGTAGGAATGAAACATTTCATTCAATTTAATAGGACTTTAAGATGTGTTATTCAGATCTCAATACACACAATTATTTTGCATAATTCTTTCTTTGTAGCTGTTATTTGTAAATGTGTACAAAATAGCAGTTATTATAAATTCCACCAGTTTTAAATAAAATCACAACTACGTTAGAATAAAGACTATTAGGTATTATTTCCGCTGTTGCATGCCAGTTTTTGGAAACACAAACATTACTGTTCAACAGCACTGCTTTTGCTAAATTTAAGCAATTAATTACATTTATCAGATCACCAGCTGTTCAACAGCAGATGGATCATTTCTGAAAACCTTAGTTGAATCAAATCCACATGATTCATTTTTCAGGATTAACTGGCTAAAGTTTGAGAAAGAGTTGAAAGCAGGTAACAGGATGTGCAATAAACCCTAACCCTTTTTATTTGCTAAATTCAGTCAGCTTTCACTAAAGACTAAAAGACTAATGACATAAATCCTCAGTTTTTTCTTTTACATTATATTGTATCAGGAATATATATATATATATATATATATATATATATATATATATATATATATATATATATATATATATATATATATATTTAAAATTTGTAACAAAGTCCCAGTGTGTTGTCTAAAAAAACTGGAGGGGTAAGTAAGTTTCTAAGTCTTTTTCCTTTTATAGTAAGTACCATGGACAGTTCCTGAACGGCAAACACTGGTTACATTAACGTGTTGTGTAGCAACTACCATCCCTGTGCTTTGAAGAGGAAGGGATGAGAGAGGAATAATGTATCTTACTTATCACTGCTGTAACACACAGACCCGGCACAGCCTTTTGCTGCTTTTATAATTAGACCAAAGCGTAGAAGTGTAACTTTGAAAGCACTTTCTTCCTTTCTGGCTGAACCTTTGCAGGATACTTTTGGATTTGAGGGTTGTTAGTTTGAGTTTTTTTTCTTTCTTTTTTTTAAAGAAGTTGTGAAGGTGAGTTTGGGTTTGTGTTTGAAAAAGGCTCAGATATATTTTACAGATTTAATATTAATTATCCAGAGCCAAAGGTGTGTGCTTTTAAAAGGTTATGTACAATTTAAGATATAGAGGTGACAACCGTCGCTGAATGTCAAAGTCATCAACCAACTTATTTGCACTTTTTTAAGCTTTTTCTTTCTTCTCTTTTTTTTTTTTTTTACTTCAAAACCACTTTTTTTTATGAAACAATATTTAACTTAAAAACCTATTCATAGGAGGAAGATTAGAGGGCTGCCAGTTACTAGTAAATCATGAACTTTCCTAGCCAGTATCCAGCCTCCTGAATCAATAGTTGCTCTGGAGACTGCTGAGTGCCTCAACCCCTCACAATTTGTTTAAAGCTAAGTGTTGCCCACGTCTGACACCAAAAGTTTAACCTCTGGACTAAATCACCAACAATGGAAGTTGAGCATTCTGTGAGGCTTCAGTTCAGATGAACACTCTTTTGATTATGAAGGACAGACCCGATTTGTAATTTATTGTTCTATCAAAAATGTGGATAGTTTTTCAAACTTGCAACACAAATCATTTGAAAGCCAGACGAACAGGCAATAAAACACTCGCCTGACTGCTCAAACATGTTATTGGAACAGAAAGTAAATGTTTAAGTGCATTAGGCTCAGTGGTCTTGTATGTACAGCTGTCACTGTCAAAGCCACAGGCAACCTGACAACGCTTTGTCTCCGAACACAATACGAACATGTGTTCTTCTAAGACAAGCTTATTCTCCGCACAAACGCGCTGGATCTAATCTGGGGAGACAGTATCCGATGCTATCTGGATGATCAAAAATAGGTCATGCCTCTCAAAAAGCAGTTTGAGCCATTTAATCTCCTCTCAAACTGTCTGAAACCTGAACAGAAGCTGCGTTCGCTTTCCAGCAAAGATTTTCTGAATGCCGGTTTGAAGCAGTGTTTACAATCAGAGCAGGATTTCTTAAATGCCCCCCTGACACGGTACAAAACAATTACCAGATCGCTTCTTCTTTTTTTCATTCTTTTCCTTCTTTTTTTTAATTCACAAAGCATGGGTTAAACAGTAAAATCTAACCGGGATTCTGTATAAGTTTACAACACTTCTATAATTCAGATCCAGCGTTTAAACCGAAATCTATACCAGCATGAGCTAAAAGCCTTGTCATTTTACACCCGCGATACGGCGGATCAGTGATAATAAACGCTGGCCAAACTGACAGTATAATAAATGAAAAGAAGTTTTGACACCAACCTATTGCTGTGATCCAAAAAGTTTGATTTTCTCCCAGTCTCTTGATAGCTGAGCTGGTGCTGCGGCTTTGAAAGGTAGTCCCCAGGAATATGACATACTGTGCCTTTGACAGCCTCGAGATAAGCACCTGCGTTCGGGTCTCTTTTTACGTCACACCTCCCCATTCACAGCCCTTCAACATGATGCACATTTGCACATCAACAGCCACCAAACCCCCCCTCCTCCTCCTCCTCCCGTCCCTCCTCGCTCTACTCCCACATCCGCAAAAAAAAAAAAAAAAAAAAGACCCAACACACAAACAGGCGCACAAGGAGGCAGATGCGCGCACTAGGCTGCGCTCATGCGCGCGGACGCATGAGCTACCTGAGGTTCAAACTTCCATCTAGGCTTGTAAGAGCTGATTTTTTTTCTCTTCCTCTAACTCTAATAGCTTTTTTATTTGTTTGTTTTTTGCTTATAAAGAATAACTTTCACTTGCCTTGCGTTAAGATGGGGGCATATGCCCTCCCATGCTCCTCATACATCACTCATCATGCAAATGAGAGGGAATGTCACTTCTCAGCAGCAGATGGCCAGGGACGATAACAATGGCTCAACAGACCAGTTTCAGTGTCTATGACTTTATTGCTACGACAACAACAAAAATAGATGGATGACTTGAAATGTGGATTTCAGTGGTATGAAAGAATTCCCTGATTTTATTTTTCTGCAGTTACTGTTTTACTTTTGTTCAACCCCAGCGTGAATAATTGATGTTTTATAAAATTATGAAGACCTGGAAATTGTTTTAAAATTGTTCTCAAGTGTGGTTTAATTACATTGTATTCTGTTGTTCCAGTTCATTATGTTTACTGACCAGTTGGTTTTCTTCACAGATTGTGATGCCTGATGAAAACCTAAGAACTCAAAGGCTTCAATCACTTTATAGGGGGGAAAAAATAACCAGATATTATTTTTTTTATCCATATGTAAACCATGTCACTTTTAGTTAAAAAATGAACACACACAAAAAAACATATATTTTCTTTTTAATCACATCCAATTAATATTCAGATTTGGTGCTAGATATGTTTCTTTTTTAAGCACCCTCTATCTGAATGATCAGGCCACATTTTAGTTGTTTTATTTACATTTACATTTTATCACATATAAAAAGCGATGGTGAGTGCTTACTAAAATGTAATAAATGAGATCATACAAGAATTGCAGATGTTCCAACTGTTGCTGTATTTATTAAAGCAGGGCAACACCTTTGTTTAGATTTTAAGGTTTCAGATGCTTAACTTTACACTCCATTCAGAAGAACACCGAAACATGAACCAAACAGTCATGTCTACAAGCAACTACAGGCTACTAAAGCGAGACTCCTTCAAAATAAAAGTATTTTCAAAGATTATAGTAAATTTTACAGATAGAGCTAGTTATATATTTTGGTTCAGACAGCAAAACTATACATTTGACACAAACACGTGTTGATATACGGTATGCACGGCAAAAAAATCTAATCTAAATAAGTGCATTTTTTTCTTTAATTGAGGAGGTAAGTGAGACACTTTGCCAATGAAACAAGATCGTTTACATTTAATATGAGAAAAACCAATTGCATTGTCTTATATCAAGTGCCCATTATCTAACTTTCTTATTTTAAGAGTAAAAATACTTGTTCCATTGGCAAATCATCTTCTTTACCTACTCAAATTAAGGGTAAGTAAACTTAATTTAAGACATTTTTACCTATTTTAAGATCGTTTTGCAGGGTACTATCCATATTCATGTCCTTCTTTGCAAATGCAGATGACTTCGAGATAATAGAGTATTTAAACTGAAGTCTGGCTGTGAACTTATGATTACAGCAAGAACAACCATGAAAAAAAAATAAAAAAAAAATAGTAACCTGAGGTCTATATTAATAAATACTGTGTAAACCAAAGTGATGTCCTGCTGATCCTTCTTTTGGAGTCATATATCCTGGTTTCCTGACAGTATAGCTTATCAATGAAACAAAGACCACTACTTTTATTTGTCAGCTGTCAGGGCAAGTACAAAACATCCACCTGGAGGGTGGAGAAAGCAACCACTATGCTTGAAAGCTTACCAAGCTAGATGCATCAGGGGTTTGAATAAATAGTTTGGATTTTGTTTCTTATTGATGGATGTTTTGTAAACATCTTGACAACATTTTCAAAGAACTGGAATCCAATAGAGCTATGAGAATTTTTAACCAAATAGTTTTTCTTGTTGGTATCCAATATGGAACTATTTTAAAAGTAAAAAAAATTATCATAGCCCCACCTCTAACATCATTCTAGAACATCAGCTGATTTGGCTTAACAAGAACAACCATAAGCACTCTTTCTTCTTCTTTGTTCTTCAGAGACAATGGTATATCACCACATACAGGTCTGACATAGATGTAACATTTTAGGCTAGACAGGGTTAGGGTAAAAAAAAAAATCTATGCACAAAAAAGAGCAGTTTATAGATGGCTTTTATATATTCTTTCAAACATATTTATAACATCTTTACTGATGTTTCAATATGTTTTCAACATGTTTTCAACATTTCAACAAAGGGAGTGTAACACAATACCAGGTCCTTCTCCTGTTATGTTGCTCATTTTGCCCTAGAACAACTTTAACTGTGGAGGTGCATTTTAGATTATTACATGTCAATACTCATTTCTGTTTCAACAACAAACCTTCTTTCTGCTTGTCCTTTTAATACCACTTTAATTTTCAAGGTTTTATAAAAAAAAATAAAAATAAATTGAGTGATTAGGTTATTTTTATTTGTATATTTAAAAAAATTATGAGGAGGGCAGAAAGATTTGCCCTAGTGGCCTGAATCCTCTTAAACGCAACACTAATGACTTGAAATAACTTGGCTGTAACTCTTAAACCAATTTATGGCATCCATAGACGTGGATATACTAAGTAGGGCATGCAGTAAGTATAAATCTTTTACCATCTAAGTTCCAGTGAAAGGCAAGGGTTCTTTGGTGTCTTCAAAACCCCATCTGCCCTACGGTAATGCAAGTAATTAGGTGTAATTCCTTCCTGTAGGCCACGTTAACTCCCCCTGACTTAGTTCATGCATTTGATAGGCCTGAACAGGGAAGACCAAAAAGAAAACACATAGAACACACATGCATCTTTCCTTTTTTTTTTTTTTTTGTAACATCTCATAATCTCAAAGTGATGTCACTGTGCGTCCTGCTGACTCTTGTTCATACAAACCCCCATGGCACTGAGTAAACAGTGGAAGCGTTTAGCAAACAGGGCCAGATTACAATGACAAAGGCAACCACACTTCTGGGTGGAGTCTGGGGAGGGTGGTGGTTGGGGATGCGAGGAGCACAAGAGGGGTGGCTCAGACTTTTAAATCAGGGATTGCCCCCCCTCCCAAGATCCTCAGCTGATTGTAAGGGGCCACACAAACATTCATTTCTATTGGGAATGTCCCCCCTCTTGTCACCAGCCTTGTCCTCAGGGGACTGACCTGAGAACACAATATGTAATAATAATGAGTTTTCAGTTCTTTTTTCCTGTGATTTGTGCACTTAGTTATGCAAGGCCGGGGACTTGAGGACAGAGAATATCATTACTTAAGGTTTGGCAGTTGATCATCACCTTGTTTAATGCCTCATTTGAAAGTCTAATATCTAACTCTCTTCAAGAGCCAATCCATGCTACGCCGTGAAAGAGACATACAAAGAAGAATAGACATGCTCCAGTTTACCCTCTTTCCCACCGTTTAAGTCTTGTAACTGTACAAACACATCAAAGTGAGGACTAATCTATCAGAGAATCTTATCAAATAACATGTTCTTTGTTTGCGAATGAAGACAATCTCCAAAGCAGCTTGTTCAAGGGATGATTATTTCATGTTCCGAGCTGTGTGAGCCAAAAGAAAATCAACTTGTGTTAAGCAATCCTGACACGTCGCAAGAGAATAACATATTGAGGGCTACACAACAACACCATTACAAAATGTTGCATTTTCTTTTAGCCCCAACATCTGTTCAAATCTAAAAAGAGAGAGAGAGAGGGAGCGAAAACTCATTCAGAGGCGACGGACAACATAAACTAGTGTTTTGTCGAGCTATTTCATCCGCTGAAAATGTGGGCATAACTGGAGAGAGCTGATGGAGAAATGAAAGAGGAGTGGGTTGGACAAAATTACATGTCAAACAAGGGTTCACATTTAAAAAGTCCTGCTCATATTTGTAGAAAGTGTTTGATTGCATTTAGAAAGGTATTACAATGGGTCACATCTGTGTCTAAAAGCTTTTTGCATTCTGCTGCAAATTATGTAAGCAGAGCAAAGTGTCACGACACCCTGTTGTTTTTGAGCACTATACCTCCCTCCTGTGAAACCTACACAAATATGTTTAACTCGATTCTTCTAATGCACGACGGGATCAAAGTGTCAGCAGCGTAACTTCAGCAAACCCTCTCACTCAAAACACGCCGCCCGGTAATTTTCGACAAAGCAAACATGACTAATTTCACATGGCAGCCCGTGCAACCAAATAACAATGCACATCCACCCTGCCATTCAGCGAGGCAGATGTGTACAAATCTCTATCAAACTGTGGTTAATTTTTGCTGTGATGTTTCAAGCTTTGGTCTGAAATGACAGATTCTTCTTGGTGGTGCTGAACCCTCATTGTACCCACTTGATGTCTGTTTGTTCATCTCATCTCACAAAGTCATGTAAAAGGGTCTGAATTACATTTAAAAGAATATCTATTTGCATATGCAAATATGACGCGTCCAACATAAGCACACATCGATGTGGATATGGCTCCGGGATGTAGTACTACATTGATGTTACTTGTCAGCAGATGGGGAGTTTTCTTTTAAAAAACACAGAAAATTTTTCACGGGGAACATTATCTGTCAGGGTGTTTCTTTTTAAAAACAGAAGTGATCAGATCAGTTCACAGTAATTTCTTTTGGAAAGAAAAATGCACATGAGCATAACTTACAGCATGTTTATTCAATGTTATTAGAAGCTGCTATGATTCAGTTTTGGGGAAATTTTGAGAGTTTTCTTTTTCTACACCTCGGTTCAAACCTGATCATCAAAACCTGATAAAATAGTATTGGTCAGTAAATATTTAACTCATCATTTAATGATGGACTCCTTGCTTTTACAAC